ATGATTGACGTGACTGGAGTCAAATGCATTAAATGTTACGATGATTCGAAAGTCCCATCAAAATCTTGTGTAGGTGTTTAAAATAGGTATTTCTCAGAGGAATCGAAATACATATTTTAAAGGGGCAATTTGTTGGCTGAAGATTTTGATAATGTTATTAGAAGCCAAATGAATTAAACGTTTTGATCGAAATGAGGTAAAGCGTCATGTTTCGAAGTAGCAGAAGCAGTGTTTCGAATAAGTATGTCAAAGCTTGGAGCTTCGAGTGGCAATTATGGGAACATATCTAAAGAAGTCTCGAAATAACAACAAGGCTGTGTCTGGGAAGAGCGTTCGAAACGGAGAAGTACCAAAGCATTTGAAATTCAAATGGAAGCGGGACTTTCGAAGTTTGAAAGTTATATGCTGGAGCATTTGGGGACACGTGGAAAGACGAAAGAGGCATTGTCCTGCATGTTCTAAACGTGGCATAATCCTATAGCAAGACCGTTATGGTCGAATTAGTATAAATAGAAGTCTTAGTATTAGGATTTCGGGTGTCATATCTATTATACAAAATACTCAGTAACATTCAAACTACCACATGGCAAGGGAAACGAATGCAAGAGAAATGTATGTATGATAGCACCATGTATTTCTGATTTAATGAAAACCTTTTTACCATTTCCAGCACTTTCCTTTATCTTTTGTCAAATAACATTTACAAGTTTTCTCATTTACAGTCTTTTCACTTCGAAATCTCTTCTTCAAAGTTTTACATTTTAATGTTTTCTTCATATTTCAAGCACTTTATATCTCAGAGAACTGTCATATTTTCCATACCTTTACCTTCAAGTCTTATCCTTCGAACGCATATTTTTACTTAAAGTCATTTAAAGATTTCTTGCATTAAACGCTTTCTTCATATTTCAAACCTTTTACGTTCCAGAAGTCCTTTATATTAACTGTTCTGTAAGTCGAAACCATTTACTTCACTTTTATGCAATTTTACATGTCTTTACAATTAGCATTTATTCATGTAACTTAGTTTTCACACACATTTTGATTACATCTTTAGACTTTTAGAGAGAGAAATCAAAATAAGCCAAACACATATACAATATCAACCATGAATATCTGTTCGATCGTGAGAGTAACCTTAATATCCAAGGAGTCCTAGGATCAATCTAGTCGATCCTGTGAGTTACCAGAGGAATTGAATAACAGTCAGAAAGATTATTCGATAGTTTGGAAGACTAGCGGTTGTTTACCAGAAATCACTGGAAACACCACCATTGATGACCATGGCGGAGAGGAAGTGTTCCCACCTGCTGTGCGTAGACATAGGTTCTTGCAAGTGTTCGGAGACGTAGAACTCCTCGGGTCTTGTGACAGAGAACGCGGTTTAGATGGGAACCGACTCGTCAGATGGTCGGGCATCCTCTTCTGCTTCCCTCGTCTCACGGGCATCCTGACGAGGAGCGTCGTTTCGCCGGTACTGTGCGAGTCTTCCCCCTTTTATGAGGGTCTCGATGGCGTCCTTGAGGTGGACGCAGTCTTCGGTCAGGTGCCCGTGGCTCCGGTGGTACTGGAAGTATTTGCTTCGGTCCACCCCGGGTTTGGCAGGAGCTGGACGGGGACGTTTGACGCCGCCATCCTTAAAATTTTTGGCCCGCACTCTGCTAAGATGCGCTCGTGGGAAGCCGTGAGCGGAATGTATTCTGTGAATCCTCCTGAGGGTCCATTTTGTTCCAGGGAGTCTCGGGGTTTATCGTCCCTTCTCTTTCCCCCGGTTCATCGAGGAGGGGCTGTGTCTTGTCGCGGATTGCTGCTGGATCCGCGGTTTCTGGGGTCTCTGGCTCTGTTGGCCGCTTCTCTTTCCTCGTAGTCCATGTAGGCTCTGGCCTTCTCGAGGAGGGCATCAAACATTCGGGGTGGTTCGATGCCCACTGCTTTTCTAAATTCGGTGTCGGGGAGGAGTCCCCTCTCCAGCAGGTATCTCTTCATATGGTCCGTGCAGGGGACCTGGATGGCTTCCCGGTTGAAGCGGTTGATGAATTCTCTCAAGGTCTCATCGTGCTTCTGGATGATGGCCTCGAGTGCTGCTTCAGTCTTCGGGTGTCATCGCGAAGCAGTGAACGAGCTGATGAATTGGTTCTTCAAGTTTCGCCAAGAGGTAATTGACCCCGGGGCGAGACCTTTGTACCAGTCCATAGCTGCTTTCCTCAGGGTCGTGGGGAACAACCGGCATTTGATTGGTCCCCTGACGTTATGGTAGTGCAACATGGCTTCAAACCCGTCTATATGGTCGACCGGGTCGGCGACGCCGTCATATTCTTTTAAGTGGGGAGGCTTCTCCATGCTGGGGGGAATGGGCGCCTCCATGATAGCTTGTGACAAGGGATCGCAGGAGTCGTCTTCGTCACTTCATTTCGGGGAGCGGGACGGGGATCCGATGTATTGTCGGTCACGGTGGCCCTGGTCGTGCAGGACGTTCCTTGAGCGGTGTGACCGTTGATGGTTTCCTTCGTGTCTGTCTCCAGGAGGTCTTCGTTCTTACTGTGAAGAGTCGTGGTCGCACCTTCCTGCATCGACGAGTCGTTCCCTCTCCAAAGGGGGTCGTCGCCCGATTGGTCGAGGCGACGGGCTTCGAGAGATGTCCCGATTTTGTCTCCGTGGGGGAGATCGGGGACGTTCGTTCGTTTGTCGAGGGGGAGGAGATTGATGCCTCATGTGTCTTCTAGGGGGACTTTGGTCATCCTCGAGCGGTCTTAGTCTTTCCCCCTGGGAAAAGATGAGATAGTTGGTTTGGTTAATCGCCGCGAACAGTGCCCTGGTCGTGGCGTCTGCCCCCCGTGGGGACATGGATTCGTGGAATTGGATGGCTGGGTAGTTCAGAGGAACTGGGTGATCTTCTTTAAGCCGAGAAGGGATTGATGAAGATGAAGTCGTGGCTCCGTCTCGGTAGTTAGAAGGCCCAAGGATGTTGCCGCTAGGGACCGTGTTATGGTCGGTGATGTCGGGGCCGACAATGTTGTCGGTGATGTTGTTGTTAGCTTCGATGACACAGAAGTTCTGGTTGTCCTGAGTCTGGTCATCCATGACAGTCGAGGATTGTTAGCTTTTGTCTTTTTGAGCGGAGAGAAGACGGGGAAGCTTAGATTCCCACAAACGGCGCCACTGATCGTACCTGATCAGAGTTGGACCGTCACAGCTGACTTTGAGTTAGATTTAAAGGAGATGGGGGGGGGGGGGTACCTGCAAGACACTCTGATGGCAAAGTGAGAGACGAAATGAGCAAGCAAGTAAGTATATAGGTGTGAATGAATGAATACCTGACCCTCTCTAAATAGAGGGTATTTATAGCCCCCAGCACTGGGCCAAGGTCCCTTTATTGGGCTGATCAAACAGGCCCAACAAAGGGACTGCCAAATTCTACGTGAGTAGTGGGGACCTGCACGTGGTCCCTTACCTGGATGATGCTCTCCGCAGAATGGGGAGGGTAGAGACGCGATCTTCCCGGGACCCTGAGGACTCCGCGAAATTCGGAGAGGTTGAAAGTCTGCCCTACGAGGAGGGTACTCGGGCAGAGCTTGGATTGGGATGTTCCTCGCCAGGGACGTCCCTCGTCGGGGACGTTCCTCGCGGGCATCGGCGGGATGTAATCGCATCCGACCAGTTACCCATGATCGGGGTGTGCTCGGAGGATCTACTACTCAGCGTGATATGTTGATAAGCTTAGATTGGACCTCACTGGTGATTGGGCTACGGGCAGGCCCAATCCAGAACATAGACCAAATAGATACTATTCGAGATCTTTAATAATCTATTGCATTGAACATATTTATATGATTTTAAAAAAGTTAGAAAATATATGATTAAATTTTTTTTTTGTACTTGACATTAATAATTTCATCCATTTCTTAAGTTTTGCAAATTATAAACTAAAAATTAATTAAATAATTAATTATAGATTAATCTACTCTTATATTATGAATTTATAATTAATGACAAATAATATATACAAATGATTTAATATAAATTTTCTTATAGTATTGTATTATTTACATAAATATGACATATCTTTTAAATTCATATATTTATTATAATTTTAAAATATATTCAATTACAAAATATATATATATATATATATATATATATATATATATATATATATATATATATATATATATATATATATATATATATATATATATATATATATATATATATATATATATATATATATATATATATATATAAAATTGTATTTGCTTAAATATATATTTTTTTAAATAATATTTAAGATAAAGATTCAAAATAATCTCATACATCGCATAAGTCATATATCTAATCAAGTTAAAAAACATGCCTAATATTCACAAAATAATCAAAGTATCAAATAGTCACACGTAGATGAGAACATCATCCACATGAATTTAAACTCCACTTTAAGGAAGCCTAGTTTAAATCAAGCTAAAGAGTTATTATTGTCCGGAAGAAAGATGCAGAACACAGTTTAATCTCATAAGTACTTGGTCAAAATTACAATATCATAGAAACATTAGTCCCTTATTATATATTTCCTTCGTTAAAAAGTTTAACTTGATGCAGCTTTTTTTACAACATAAATTATGGGTTTTCACTATTGAATAAATCATAGCTTAAAATCATCCAACTTTCCCTGTGGCAAACATAATCAAATATGGTGGTTCCAATTCATAAATCGATTGGAGAAATTCAGTTCCAATAGCTTATCCATATTGGCTTTTGGAATTCAAGTATAGAACATAGGATCTTTCAACAATCAAATTGCTACAGTACATACATCCATATATCAATTAGAGATTAATTTCACAAACAAATCCGTAAATAAAAGCACGTGTAATATATTCAATTTGCACCTGCGAACAGCAAGACCATAAATGTCATATATCATAATCCAAGAACCGTTAATATAAGACATAATTCAATGTTTGCAATTCGAGCAAAGAAAAAGGTTCTAAACACTCTCAATTATACTAAAACCTCCAATCGATTGCGACTACCAAACACTTGTATATCAGCATTTGGAGAGTCGGTGTCTTGCATCTCCTTATACCAAGCTTGGCTTTGCTCTTCTCAATAGCTTCTCGGTCGAGAAATTTCGCTGAACCAACCATAACTATTTTCATCATAGTTCTCTTCCACCATCTATTCACAATTGCTTCCAACATAGTTCTAGTTACTTCCCTCTTCATCTGCTGCACAATCATAACCGCTTTCATCACATTGCTGGCTAATACTCAGATGATGTTTCCATTTTGTTGGTACATGAACATATCCTGTAATGGAAAAAGCTGGTTGGTTCGGTATGAGCAAACTCACCAATGCGAGTATGAGTAAACGCTCCATCAAAGTCATGCGATACTGAGTGAGTGTGTTGGGCAGAAGGAGGAACAATCCTTACCAAACCAACATCACTAATCTTCCTCACATAGTTTCCGTCAAGCAAAATGTTTTCAGGTTTCAAGTCACAGTGCACTGTAAGATCTAGTTTAGTTGATATTCCTTCATATTATGCTTTGTCAAGTTTGATTTTCAAGGCTCTGATTCCCAACCTAGATTCCATGAAGATAAACACAAAAACTCATGAATAACGGAAAACGTGCTCGTTGTGTCTTGTACCAGAAATATAAGTGTCTCGATTTGATGATCAGTTCGAGTGCTTTCTGCTCAAGTTTTAACAAATTACATTCATATTCCTTCTCGACATTTTTCTATTCAGATTAACCCAATAATTTTTCTATTAAACTCATATTTACTACACTTGGTAAAAGTTTAGATTAACCCTATAGTTTTTCTATTAAACTCAAGAGATTACGTCTTTCTCGGCGTGCCTCCTGAAATGGATTTGATGCTAGAATAGAAACCATACCATTTTAAGAGTATTGTTTCATTGCAGACAAATGGAACAATTCAAAAATAATAATTTAAAACTAAAATGTGTTATCAAAAAATACTTTCTTTGCCATTCCACGGCAAACCTTTGAGAACATCTCTCAGAGCAAAATAGTGGCTATCACATCTGTGGTCTGTGAGGAAATTTCCGAAAAGGATTATCCTCTTGAAATGCTCACCCGATTGCCTCTTCAAAAGAGTGTACACTTTCTTTTCAACATCATTGTGAGATATCAAGTCCCTCTTTAGATAGTAAACAGTCCCGGGTATAAATCTTCAGATACTGCAGGTTTAGTTTCCTTAACTTTCACGACAACTGAATTCTCCTTTGATGATTTAGGGGGAAAAGGTGCTTCTCCGCTATCTGGAAACTCCTTATAAACTTGATCAACTCTAAACACACACCAAAACAGTTACCAATTGGATTAACTATTCACACACACCAAAACAGTTCAGATAGAAATATCACAAGAGAAAGACAACTAAAATTCACAAATGAGCATTAAACATCAAGAGGCACAAATTTAACTAACAATTTATTATTTTATATACAGATGGTGGAACTGTATGGCACAAATTTAACTAACAATTTATTATTTTATATACAAATGGTGGAACTGTATAATAAGAACTTCTGAAAGTAAGCCAGACCTAAGTCGTCATATTAACTCGATCGTCATATGTTCGGCTGCAACTTGAACTCCGTCCGACCTTCTCACGGATCAGAAACTCCAGATTCTAACGCGGATGCATAAATATGTTGTTGATGAATAAAGAATGCATAAAGTTATTCCCTTCATGCAGCAATCACTATCCTCAGGCACTTGGGATATATATATATATATATATATATATATATATATATATATATATATATATATATATATATATATATATATATATATATATATATATATATATATATATATATATATATATATATATATATATATATATATATATATATATATATATATATAAACTAGATAGCTTAATTTTAAGCAGATTTACAAGCTAGATAGCTTGATTTTAATAAATAGAGTCTAAAGTGGTTATGAGTTAAGCGTTTTAATGACTATTCCCAGCTAAGCTTCTACCCCTACATCTTTGTAGCTCGTCTCTGCCAAACTCTATTAAAATTCTAATTTCTATCCTACCAGCATTAACTAACTCTAAACCCCTCAACTAACATAAACCAGCACATTTGAAGGCTTACCTAACATTCATCAACAATTGAATTTTATGATTACTTCTCAACTCTAAGTTGCCAACCAAGTCAGCTAGTTCTCCAAAATTTGTCTCATTTAAACTGAATGTCACCTATCATCCTAATAATGTGGAATGTTAGGTAAGGTTAAATGATAGGATACTGGATTTAGATCTTAGCCCTCAATAGAGAAATAGGAACGACATGGCAATATTCCGTTAGAAATGGAAATTTTGTTATAGAAGAAAGTGAGGCGAAAAAGTTGTTAGAGTCAATTAAGACATATTTCCCTCTGGCTTAGGAGTTCATAAAACTCTGGTTTGCATTCTCTTTTTTCCGACAAATCATTCCCGTTGTTAATGAAACATCAGTCGGCCATTTTGATTGTTGATCTTGAATAACAGTCAAATTACTACGAGCTAAAGACACAAGTTCATGAGGCATCTGTCATGCAACAGGATTTTCTTCATGCAAAGCGTCATACTTTTGGCATCTGATTGCACAAATTGCACACTATATAAAAGTATATATCAGCTTACTATTGTTATCAATGTGACATACCTTCTTATTGTCTTAAATGTAAGATCTAAGAAGTTAACGGTCATACTTATCTTTATCTTCGTCAGATACTAAAAAATTAATCATATCTTGATCAATAGCAGCACCGTAAGAGGGATCAGGACATCTCAGCATCAAACATCCTGGACCGTCATTAATTGAAGTTCCAATATATCCTGGCATATCAAAAAGGATAAACAGAAGAACATGATCCAACAGACAATAAAAATAATTGGAAGAAAATTGATTTTACCGGTTGATCAGAACCTGCAAGGTGGTCGGATGATGATCTTCAGACGGACTAGAAATTCGAGGAGGAAAAAGGAGAGTTGTACCTGTAAGACACTTCGACGATCAAGTAAGTGTAGGAGCAAAAGAGATACAAGCAGAGTGTTAGGGTTTTAGTGATGAATAATAAATATTTTCATACTTGGTCCTCACATGTGTGAGGATTTATATAATGCCCTGACGCTTGGCCATTGGTCCCTATTTTTGGGCCTAGACATGCGGGTCCGCAAAAATAGGTAATTGTCAGAACTCTGTCAAAACAGGCAAGTATGCCCGTAACTAGCCGTTGGATCCAAGGACGAAGCGGCTTACGGGCAGATGGTCGTTCCAGACGAGTCTTGGTTGTCTGCTCGACTTGTGTCGGGCTGACGGGAGACAACTGTTGACTGGGTCAGGCGTGCGTGTCGGGCATAATTGGTCGTGTGCTTAGGGGCGTGGTCGACCAGAATGCTAGGCTACTGTTGTTTGGTCGTGCCAAGGGTAGACGTGGATTGGGCCAATTCTAGTCATTGGACCAATCCATAACAGTAGCCCCCAAGTCGTTGCTTCTAGGAATATGAGTGATGACTTAGAGTCAGCTCGTGCGCCGAGAAAGAAAACACTTTTCGTGATCTTTACGAGGACATGCTCATATGTGGTATATTGTTATTTATTAGGTTTATGTATGTTCGTATGCTTGTCTACATGAGATATTTTATTTTGATCAAGAGTTTCGAGGGTTTGCTCGTTAGTATTCGAGTCTGCCAATGTGGGTGACTGGTCGAATGGCTAGGGTGATCACCCAACATGGGCCGAAACTCAAGTCTCGTTTTAAGGGCCCGAGCTCGGCAACGTGAACTTCCCATCGCGAGCTGGGTGTTCTGTCATCGTGGTACATCGACAGTGGAGCTCATTTGAGTTTTCCACGTTGGACTAAGAATCTGCTCGTTAAAAGAGTGGAGACTTGCCTCTTTATTTAATTTGGAGTGCCATGCTTGTACTTGGGCATGCACATGTGGTGGGAAAAACTGTGTTTGTTGTTTTGACGAGACATGCCAATTGTATCAGTGTCTTAACTGTAATATTGCCTTATATTTTCGGTGTTCCAGGGTTGAGAAAGTTGTTCCCCGTACAAGTTTTCGAGATAGTATGCCCCATTTTCGTTTTTGCTCAGACACGATAGCATCTCTTGGATGACAAACTTGATCCACCTCTCTTCTTTGTGCTCATAAGCTCCAATAAGATCTCTGCTCGGAAGTTATGTTCGCGGGGAAGGTATGCCCGCTAGGCTGGAGTGTTTGCGGGGAATGTATACCTGCTCGGCAATTGTGTTTGCAGGGAACATGTGCCTTCTAAGCAGTTGTGTTAGCGGAGAACATGTGCCTACTCAACAACTGTATTCGCGGGGAACATATGCCTGCTCGACAATTGTGATTGTGGGGAACATGTGTCTACTGGGCAGTTGTGTTTGCGGGAAACATGTGCTTGCTCGGTAGTTGTGTTTGCGGGGAACATGTGCCTGTTGAGCGGTTGTGTTCGCGAGGAACATGGTTTGTTTATGCGCTTCTCTCATCGGGGAGGTTGGTGAGGTCATTTCTACTGTGATGATGGTGGGGAGTGATAGTTTCTTCCTCGCCGGGCGTCATTATCTCGTCGAGGGGAGGGGCTCCGCCCTTGTCACCTCAGTTTGGGTGATAGTGACCTGCTACGGTCGTCTTTGCAGGTGCTCTTCGTCTTCTTGGAAAGTGGAGAGTCTTTATCCTTCTCGGGAGATGCTCGATCATGTTTCTTGCGAAAAGAAACGTCGAGCCTTTCCTTTCTTGGAGGACGCCCATCTCAGGGAGGCGATATACTGGAGGAGTCATGTCGTCGGTGTCTCCAAGGGGGAGACCTTAACTGTTTTCGCTCCAGATCCCTCATCCTTTTGCTCTGCTAGAGGATGATGGAGTTGGTTCGGTTAAGGGTAGCGATCACTGCTGCTATGGCTGGGTCGGCGTTCTACGGAACATGGACCGGTTGCAGAATCTCCAGCTGGTCTTCGACAGGATTCTTGGGAAACTGTTTGTCCAAGAATAGATTGTTGTCGCAATTTGTGTCAATGGAATCCAGGGACGCAATATGTCTGTCACGAGCGTTGAAGTTATCCTCAAGGTGAGGATGTTCTTGGCTTTTGTGGGTCTTGCGTTCTGGGGAGAGCATAGTCTTTCCAGATATATGGTGATCACTGTGATCGGCCATGATGGATGAATAAAGAGGATCTTTGGTCTTCACATTCTGGGAATAGAAAACGGGGAAGATAGTTTCCCATAGACGGCGTCAATGATCTTACCAGTTGATCAGAACCTGCAAGGTGGCTGGATGATGATCTTCAGACGGGATGGAAAGTCGAGAAGGAAAAAGGGAGATTTTACCTGCAAGGCGCTCCGACAATCAAGTAAGTGTGAGAGAAAAAGAGATACAAGCAAAATGTTAGGGTTTTAGTGATGAATAATGGATATTCGATACCTGGCCCTCACATGTGTGAGGGTTTATATAATGCCTCCGGCGCTTGACCATTGATCCCTATTTTTGGGTCTAGATATGTGAGGCCGCAAAAATAGGTAACTGTCAGGACTCGATCAAAACGGGCAGGTAAACCTGTAACTAGCCGTTGGATCCGGGGAGGAGGCGAGTTATAGGCAGATGGCCGTTTCGGACGAGTCCTAGTTAGCTTCTTGACTCGTGTCGGGCTGACGAGAGACAACTGTTAACTGGGTCAGGCGTGCGTGTCGGGCATAGCTCGTCTTGTGCTCAATGACGTGGTCGACCAGAATGCTGGACCACTATTGTTGGATCGTGCAAAGGGTAAAAGCGGATTGGACCCATTCTAGCCGTTGAATCAATCCAGAACAAAAATAATATTAAAGTATACATGCATTAGGACCATATCATCTGTATAATCATGCATCAAAGTAGTAGCTTTTGAAAGCCAAGTGAGTGAAATATACAACACAAGTAATACCTCCCCAACATGAAAAGAAATATGGACGGCCATAAGAAGAAGTTTGGATCTTTGCACCATGATCTGAGTTCAGCCTTGCATATATTGGCAAACAATCCAAAATCCCTCTGTTACAGCTATGTGATGATCATGTGACAACTCTAATAATTCAGAAGATGCCTCTTTGGCATCGAAATCAATAAACTTGGTACAAACTATCGAACTGCACCAATGCCATAATGTAGGAAGTAATGCGGTGTTTCTCCATTGTTTCAGTATATAAATTCATTGGTTCAGTTGGTAAATTTATCAGCATCTGTTTCAGTATTATATTTGAACTCTTCGAATCGATCACTGAAAGAAAGTAACTGATCATAAAGTGAATTCAGAGAGGTAGATGCCGGCGTGAAGCTTCGATCTGTTCAAACACAGAAACTGAATCATAACTAAACACATATCTATTCTAACAGTTGCATTTTTAGGTTTCATCTCCAATCTAATAGTTATTAAAGCACGATGACATCAAAGTAATTGGAAAAGGTGTATACCTGAGCATTAGTTTCAGAAACTATCAAATCGCTAAAATCTCAACCAATGATAATTATAACTATGTACTTTACCCTTTAAAGTACACCCCTCATTATAAAGGATTCAATAAAATAAAATAGCTCAAAATTTAAATTGATCGAAATAAAATAGAGGTCGGAAAAACTGCTCCGATTGAAGAAAAACTGCTTCGGTTGAAGAAAAACTGCATCATCCAGCATAATCAAGGTCGGAAGACATATCCAATGTGATCTTAAAAGTGATCTGCAATATTAATTAATTACAATTAATATTTGGTCAAACCTAAAGGCATTCATCATTAGATACAGTATCCATGAACCCAAAATAAACTTATTATTTGAATATTTTCTAGTGGTGTGCTTAAAAAAAGGTGAATTAAAAAGGGAAAAGGAGGGGAATAGATATAAATCTTGCAAGCAGGCTCATCCCAACAAGGAAAGCATCGTCTGGCATCAACTGCTTCAAATTGTGTAACGGTCATATTTCGATCCTCACCATTATGTTTATATTTAATGTGTGTATATATAAGCATGTCCATATGATATATAGTAAGTAACTAATAGGCCTATCGAACAATCAATTTAAAAACCAGTAAAATTACAACCTGTTAAGTTCAGTCCTATGTAAATTGGATTCAATTTAGTCCCTATTTTAAAAACCTTTTACGAAACAGTGATTAAATGCCTGATAAAGCATCAATCCCGAAAATCATTTTGCTTTCAACTTGTTACTGGAACTTTGAAATCAAGTAAAGAAAAGCTTAAAAAAAGAGTTATCTTCTGTAAAAACTCATGGTTGAAATGGGAGTACCTTAGAGGAATCACGGTTGGTGAAAGAAACGACATCGTTACCGAGGGTAAGTTCAACGACATTGAGAATAAACACAATCAAACATAAACACAAAGATAAACAATTAGAATTAGAAATCAATTAGGGTTTAAATATAAAAAAGGGACTTATCATGAATTTGATGATCAATATTTTGACCGTACATCAATGATAGCACGGATAATCAAATCTTATACACTCTCTTCTATTCCATTCGGGTTTGATGCATATGTAATCCTTCTTTTCACCCCTTCACACTTCAAATCAATGGAAGAACAATAGAACAACAAAACATTTTGAATCAGAGGCCATCGACGATTTTCTGAGGCATCAGCATCGTTATTAGGTGGTGGATATTTGAAGTTGTTTCTGTAACAGACGAAGAGGAAGAAGAGAAGACAGGAGAGAGAGGAAGAAGAGAAGACAAGAGAGAGAGAGGATGAGAAAGAAAGAGAAAGAGAAACATTTTTCAATAAACTGTGTGTTGAATGAGATAGCAATTTCGTAACCGCGTGGAGAAATTAGAAGTGGATATTTAAAATAAAAGATTTGTTGAACCCTCGTGAAGCCACATGTCAATTTTTGGAAGAAAAGAGTCGATTTTCTTATATTATAGATTTAAAATTGGCGCTTTAAATTATGATTTGTGAACAGTGTATACAGAGACACCATAAGAACTTTTTATCACCCAACTTTGTGTATAAAAATTATGCTAGTTCAAGGGAGCATTGTGAGATGGAGGTACAAAGTAAAAACACACTGAAATAACAATAACTTTGTACAAATATTTCCATGAACATCTTTCTTTTTAAATGAAAAACACCAACACGGATGATTTCAACTTCAGCCTGTTAAGAATCCATCAACCTTAACATTGTCTCCTCTAGACAAGAATTTCATACAAATAGGTGGCTTCACTCCAGCAAGAGCAAGAAAAGAGCTAGGAAGTGCCCAAATTCCATCTCCACAAATCAACCCAGAAGCAACAGCTGATCCAAATGCATCAGCTTTAGCCCTATCAAGTTTCTGCCAAATGAACAATATCAAGCTTCCAACACACATATCAATGGCAAAGTAGCTTCCAATGTAAAATGGTATAGCCATAGCCATAGGAACAGGAATAAACTTGGCATATTTCTTTCCAAGTAAGTCACGAGCAAGATTAATCACTATGGCTGCCGCGAAAAATCCATAGCAAAGTGAGAGGCAGTTTTTGGGTAATGCAGCGAATCCGTCAACGCCTAATATTGCCATGTTTCGATAAACTTGAGCGTAAGGTGCAGGGTATGCTGAACCAGGTTCACCAAGTGAAGGAAAGGCGTTGTAGAAAAGCCAGAAAACACATGGCGATATAACACATCCCATAGCCGTTCCAATAACTTGGCTCACAAACATGGATCTTGGGGAAGCCAGTGTCATGTAACCTGTTTTGAAGTCTTGCATAAGATCAGAAGCTGTGGAAACAATGTTCATCATGACACCACATGCTGCTAAACCCGCTAGGACTCCGCCGTTAGAAGATCCTGCCCAAGCACCGATTGTGAAGATGGCCAATTTTCCGTAGGTCGATGCAAGGGACCAATCTGTTAGTCCACACCCATAAGCATTGCAAAACGCTAGTGCTGGTGCAATGATGTAAATGCAAACTATGTAATACCACTTTAGTTGATGGAAAATGTGGGGGATAGTGACGATTGAGATGACTCCAACTACAACATAGCCCGTGATTGCGAACCATGATGGAATTTGATCTCTGAGAAACATCTCAGTTCTTCGTCTGTCGTCGTACGAAACTATTTGAGAGAGAGGATCATTTGGATCATTGGATTGTACTCCTTTGTCTTTTATGTTCCACTGATTATACAAACCCATAAGAGTGCGGCCTAGAACTTTCACAAAGTTGTATAAACCATCACCAAGAATCATTGCTATGGCTATGAAAACCTGTGGTTCAAAGAATATCCAATTAGAAAACCAAATGCATATATCAATAAAGATCTATTACATCATAATATGTCTAAATAGTTGTCGTTCCAATCCAGTTAACTGTGTTTTAGCTTGTTAGATTATACTATCCAAGAGTTGAATGAATATAAATTATCACTGTAAATCAATTTTGAGCTAACATCCAATGCACTTGCAAAATAGTAGAGTATTACTGTTTGACGGTGTAAATCTCAATAATCATGTAAGACTACAATTTAAAAATAAAATAGAAACAAAAATGTGGAAAGTGAACATACTTTGTAACCTTGAAGACCATGTAAGCTGCTTTTTTTGAGATCAGCAGCGTACCAATCTCCTCTTTTACCATCAATGAGAGGCCACATGACAGCCCATGAAAGAATTCCACCAACCAGAAGAGATATATTGATTATATATGGACATATCATCCCAACTCCCACATAGGTTGCAGAAAAATCAAAATAAAACCTGTTAATTTGTACATACATAAATAAAAGAGTGAGTTAAAAAGTTACCAACACATCATGCTAACATCATAAGTTAAGATGCTAAGAGTGACATACATATGTTGATAGGCTTCTAAACCAAATGTTGGAAAGCTTGCAAATCCACAAGCATCACCAGCAGTGAAAAACCATTGGAAGAAACCCCACGCAAAGCTAAACGAGAAGAATTTTCCAAGTGCTTGTACTTGTTTCTTTGCTAGTTTGGCACCTTCTGTTGTATGGAAACTATTGATAAGATGAGCCGTTGCAGTACCACTTGGATATGTCAATTTGAAGTCAATAATCATAATCTACAACAACAGCAAACGTAAAAACAAAATGTCAATTCAACATACAATAACCAAATAGCTTAATTTGATCGAACCGGTTGTAATAGTGTAGGTTACATTCCATTAAGGTATCACAAAGTCAGCTACAAAAAGTGTTATTTACATTATACTTATTCGATGCAATTCGTTAGTGTACCTTTCTTAGCGGAACAACCGAAAAGAGGCCAAGAAAGCTAACAACAAATAGAAATGAAATCATCCATCCTAAACCAGGAATTTTAGTATTAAGGGGACCTCCTGATTCTGGAATTTGTTTTGCAATAGTTGGACTCATTCCAAACAAGTAACTACCAAACCCACCTACACAAACAGATCATCAAATAAGGTCCTTGCATCAGAATTGCAATTAACTATCAGAGTATATCAACTATTTATCCAACACAGAGTTCATAACACAGAATTCACATTGAAGTAAAACAGTAAAATAACATATTATACAATAGTAAAATATATTACTAGCTCATAATTCAAAATATACACTTTTCAACAAGCAGCAGAAAGGTAAAGGGACCACAAAGCACATAACAAAAACACACTATTTGCAGATGGTCACTATCCTCAGAGTGGAGCCCACCCCGTGATACACTGAACAAACAAACACATGCAAATCCAAAAACCAGAAACAAACACATGCAAATCCCAAAAAACCAGAAACAAACACATGCAAATCACAAAAACCAGAAAACCATTAACCTCAATTGAATTGAAAGATGATGAATAAAAATGAAAACTATAGATCAGGTTATTACCACTGAAAGCAATGCCACTTGAAGCAACAACACAAGTCTGAATAACAGTATTCTCCTGTCTGGTAAAGGGTTGATTAAGCATACCAGCTTTGGCAAGCAATTTAGTCCAACTTTTCACAAAGAAGAATCCTAACAAGCCAGCCGAAACATTGAGGGAAGGAATAATCCCAGTGGTAAGATTAAGCTTCATGACAATGAACGTAAACAACACGGACAAAACCAAACTCACGAACACAGCCCTAACCGTAACCTGTTTCTGCCATGCAGGCACTGATTTTCCTTCAAACCCTTTCTCAACTGAGATCTCCTGAGACTCATCGTTGGGATCTCCTGATGCAGTCACCATTTCGTCGCGGCCTTCAACGTCGCCGGAGACGACACGTCGGTGGGGTTGGGTGGTCATTTGTTGATGACAGAATAACGTTGGAAGATTATGAATGAAAGTTACGCGATGTGGTTACGTGATTTGTGAAGTGTTTGGTTTTTATATTGAGATTGTTATTCTTGTTATTAACTGTGGCTCTCGGTGTCTATAGCTGTCACTTTACAGTTGTTTGTTTTTTCTTAGGTTGACCGGTTCTTTATTAGTGGTAATTAATGATGTTTATTAGTTAGTTAATGAATTTAGGTCGTATGATTAGTAGTATTAGTAATAACTAATAACCATAGTAACAAATCTTGAGATTGCTGTAATTATTTCTCAACCAAAATTTTCTTTATTTGGAGAGAATCACAACCAAATCACATTTTCATTTTCTTACTGTCTTAAAGATAAAAATAGAAATAATAATAATAAATAATTAAATAAATAAAAGAATATAAGCTGTTTTCTCCTCCTCAAACCATTTCTATAGAATCCATAGTATTGGAAAGTTGTTAGGTATTAATTACTCTCTTTTTTCTGTACACAATTGTTAGGTATTAATTTTAAGGAATCAAAATAAATCTTTTAATTTTTACCACAATAATTTTTAAGACTTTATCATTTAATTTATTTTATTTGTATTATTTTTTAATTAATATATATTTTTTATTTTACATATATGGTAGTGGGAATATAAATATTTGATAGGTTAATTTTATAACAATAATATTATCTTTTTTATTCATATAATTTAGAAATTTATGTGAAATATTTAAATAAATAATTTATTTCAAGCTAGACAATCTCAAAAGTTAATTTTTTTGAATACATTGAATAAGGTATGCATCTTATCTAAATATTAACAAATAAATTAATATTTCAATGAAACTAAAACAAACAAAAAGACAAAAAAAATTGAAATGTCCTTTAATGTATTTATTTTATTTTGTTTTGTATTTATTTCTCTCTTTATATTTTAGTTATTTTTTTTATTTTTTTAAAATAATATTAAGATTTGGAAGCGAGATGCGGAAGTGTCAATGAATCAAACATTTGATTTGAATCTTGATACTACAAATTCAGCCAAAAAATCTTAAGATAATGGCGGTATGAGTCACCTCTCTTATCTTAAAATACAATCTCCCACAAATGTGAGTAATCCATATCATTAGTCTTGATTTACACTAAGAATATCTTCCACACAAGTGTGAGTCATCCACATCACTAATTTTGATTCATACTAGGATCCACTTGCGCCCTTCCATCAAATCAACTGGGTAATGTGAGACTTTAGCACTTTTACACTTGAAATCCAATAATTTCCTACACAAGTGTGAGTCACTCACATCACTCTGATACCATTTAATAAGAAAGTTTGGAGAGCGATGTTCAGAAATTTCAATGTCAATAGATGAAAAGTTCATGATTTCAAGAGATTTATACGCCATAAATATATCCAAAATCTTAAGATAATAGAATATAACTCACATTTTTTTATAAATCTAATATTTTTTTCATTTCAAGTGGATTTTAACACTTTTACACTTAAAACCTAATAATAAGAATAATTTTAAAAAGTAATTAAAAGAATAT